TGTTTTGGTACCCTTGAGCATAAAGGTGCAAGCTTTATGAGAGTTTTAGTGTCATGCATTCATTAAGTCAACTATTAAGTCATTTTTAAGCTTAAGAGCTTCATTTAGACATGCATGAACGTAAAGTTGGCAACTTTACTTGGTTTTCCAGCTCAAGGAAGTCAGATCTATGTTTTGGGGCTATGTCTTTATGGATTAAGTGCTTTTTGGTTAAGCCCTTGCACTATTAAGCTTTATGGATTCGGTTTGAACCATCCCAATGGATAAAGTTGGAAACTTTATCCTTCTGGACCATGATTCGGACTAGATCTAAGCTTTGGGGCTCTTGGAATCCGAGAAAACAACTTATTGTATTAAGTTGTTAAATCTCGGGAAAACACGGTGTGTTGGTTGGGTATTTCCCGATTATCTGGATGAGGGAGGAACACGGCGTGTTTGGTCATCATGGGTTGTTAACTTTGACTTTGACTAGAAGTTTGATCAGGGTTGACCATGGGTTATGTTGGGCTATGTTTAGGCCTTTTGGATTGTATGTTTGGGCATTAAGGTAAGGCCCATGTAAGGGATTTGGGCCCACTTTGGAAAATTGGGCCAAGTAAGGGCCTTGAGTGACTATTTGGTTTCGGGCCTTTTATATTTTGAGTTTGGACCTTAGTCTTGGACCAAACTAGGTGAGGGGTAAAATGGTCTTTTTACCCCAAGAATGGACTGTTGGACATATGATTATGGATTGGGACCCAAATGTTGATCGGGTGTTGTTTTGATATTGATAGCTCGGGGATCTGCCAGCCAGCAGTTAGGGATTTTTTGTGCCTTTCGGCAGTGCGAGGTGACTCTCCTCACTAGGTTTAGCGGGTCGAAGGCACCAATGCCAGACCATGGTTTTTATGTTGGAATGCTAGATATCTGCGTAACTCTTGCATGCGTTATGAGATGGTATGCTTACCAGGCAAGGCTCGATGCCAGGCGGGGCCTGATGAGTATTTTGTATGCTTTTTATTAGTATATGTTTTATGCTTACCGGGCGAGCCCTGATATCGAGCGGGGCTTGATGACTGTATGGTATGCCATAGTCTTTGTGATTATTGCATGGGCTAGTAAGGTTATATGTTTATATGATTATACGGTTATATGATTATGTATGTATATGGGGCGGGGCCCAATGTCAGGCGGGGCATGGTGATTGACAGATCTGTATCCGAGCGAGACTCGATGTCGGGCGGGGCCCGAGGCCGAGTGGGACTCAAGACCAGGCGAGGCCCGATGGAGGGCGGGGGCCTAGTATGTGATTTATGTATGTGTGGTATGTGGTATCTGGGGGAACTCATTAAGCTTTGTGCTTACGGTCTTCAGTTTATGTTTCAAGTACTTCGGTTTTCAAATAGAAGAGCTCTGGATGATTGCAGAGCACGCACAGGGGCGGATTTAAGGGTGGTCCAGGGTGGCACCGGCAACCCCTAACTTTTCCGGCCGCAGTGGAAAAAATTTCGAAAATTTTCAAAATTTTTATTTTTTCTACTATCGTGCAACCCCTGACTTTCCCGTGCAACCCCTACTGTGAAATTTTGCGTCCGCCCCAGAGCACGCACCACATGTTTCCGTATTCTGTGATTTACTCTTTTTTGATGATGTTGTGATATATCTTGACTGCCTTGGTTTTAAGGAAATGTCATGTATTAACGATTTATTAATCTAAAAATGAAAATTTCATTTCATTACTTTTGGGACGTTACAAGGGTCACCTTATTTGAACCATCTTTACTTCACCATGAATATCTGAATAAATAAATCAACTTTTTCCTATTTGTTTTCTTTCTTTTATGCTCTTTTTAATTTTGTGCAAACATTTTTCCATTTTCCTTCTTTTATTCTCTTATTAGGTATATGGTGTATGATGAAAGAGCAATTCAATAAATAAATATAGATATAATATTACAAAACGATTTCTTCAGTAATAGGTAACAAAAATAATGAAATAGTTGTAAATAATTTACCTAAATTGAAAAAAAAAATCTTAATAGAGCTCCACCCATAAGGTCCCAAAGATTCTTCAACTTCTGCTCTTCATTGCAAATACTCTTCCAATATTACCCTCCATATTATGGACTTTAAAAATATATATAAATATGATAAATTTGTGTTTAAAGTTTGATTCTTCTTTAGATTGCACATTGAATTAGATTGCACATTGAACGGAAGAAACATAAAATATCAACAATAAAACCGTAGGAACTAAGCTGACAATAACATTAACTTTTGCTCGTTATTGGGCATGCCAATTCCACATCTCAGGTCAGCATTGACTTGTGTTTGTGTGTGTGTTTGTGTTGCATGACCAATCATTCTTTTTCAAGCTAGAAGGATAAAAAAACTAAATAAAAGGATAACCATAAACTTTCTTTATGTATTGACTTGTCTGTTTTTTTATGTTACTCTGTTTATGTACTATGTCTATGTAGTTTCCAGCAAAAATAGATGTAAAGTTGGTTGTTTTTTTATCTTCTCCTCCGTTTTCTAAAGGGTCCACTCTCTTTATTAACTATAGTGTACCATGTGTTCTAGGGGTAGTTGTTTCATATTGCACAAGATAAAATAGTCATACCATCTTGTAGAACGGCATACTTTCATTTCAGATGTTAATGATTTTGAGTCAACAACATAGTTAATATGATCATTACCTTCATAGCTCAGTTTGAATATGTAGATCCAAACTGAAACTAAGATAAACAAAGTTACCGTCCAAATGGGATGAGCCCCCACATACGTCCAAATCCTCCTTATTAGCATCAACATCCCCGTTATAAGCATCCACATGACATCAGGTTCCTCATCCTAAGCAGTCCAGACATAAATCACTATTATATTGTTGTTGTGCTAACCATTTAAAGTACAATAATATGCTTCAAAAAATATTCATGTAATAGGTTTGATACATAGATGATCATGGGAAGCAGCTTGAAGACCATTGGTAGGATCTGAAAATTCAACCACAAGTTCATATGCAAATTCCATTTCAGGTTTTAGTAATCTGGAATGGAATTGTTGCTTTGTTTGATCCTAATTTGAGTTCATGGTTAACAAAGAACATGTGAAAGAAAGTGTAAGAAAAAAACAATTGAATCTGATAACCTCATTAACGTTCAAATGTTTAAAGCGTAAGAATACAGACCTTGAAATTGTATACCCTCGTTTAATGAAAACAACTTGAAACAAAAATTTGAGTTCATGGTTAACAAAAAACAGGTAAAAGAAGTTAAAAGAAGCTTTGGTGGTCCACCCAGTGTTATCGATAGCGATAGCGAGGTAATAGCGACAACCTACCTATATGCTATGTGGCGATAGCGATGAAATAGCGACAGCTATTTCATTTTAGCGAATGTCTATTAAAAAATTAATACTACTTTTACCTTCACCTAATTAGCAATTATAACTAATAATAAGCTAAAAACCAAGACTATTAATTCAATTAAGTTCTAAAACATGCATATTACAAAAAAACAAGTGTTAATTTTAGATATTTGATGCTCTCTTTGACTTAGTCAACTAAAAACCCTAAAACAGTTCTATTTATACTAGATTTAAAAAATAAAAAAATAAAAAAAAATAAAAAAAAAAGTTAAATAAGTCGCTATGTCGCTATTCAGTCACTATGAACCCCATAGCAACACTGCATCGTCTCGCCTCGCTATTCGCTATAGCGATCGCTATGGTCACTATTGACAACATTGGGTCCACCTCCGTCGTCCAACACAGAACCTACCGATGATTTTCAGACAGAGTGAGAGTGATATGAAATGGAGGTCAGAGCTTCAATCCATCCTTGAAGATGATGAATATCAATCCAAGTTTCCATGATTAGACAGCCACTTCTTGAAAACACATGATTAATTAGAGTTTAGCATTATGACAATAAAAAACTCCTAAAGTCTAGAATATATGTATTATGTATATGTAACTCACCACCACAAATAAATTATCACCAAGGTAATTTGAGTTATTTTTTTTAAGTTAGGTTTGAGGATTGTTAGCTTAGGTTGAGTTTTTAGCTAGACTATAGTACTCCATGTTTTTCTTTGACCTTTGTTTAGGTTCTTTGGATTTTATTTTTTGTTTTCTTACGAATTGTATTTGTGCTTTTTGAAGCTCCTTGCCTGTGGTTTCTAATATTATATGTATGGTTAGTTGTTAAAAAATATCATATTCAAGATTGGCCTAATTTAAAAGCCTTAAGATCTTTGTAGTGATATATTATGTAGAAATAATTTATATTTTTATTTGACATACTCTACGAAGTAATTAATTTGTAATAAGGGAGTACAATGTAAACTAAATACAAGAAGGGACAAAAGTTGAATAATATATAATATATTTGTTTCAAAAATGAAATTTTTTAGTCTGATGGTCTTAATCCCATTTTCAAACATATTGAAAAAGGAACACCATTTTAGTAGATTATCCTGTATCAATAATCCATATAAATGAGTTATATCTTGCATATTAGATCAGCAGATACGCATATCATAGTTACATTCACTGGTTTGGATTGAAGTTTTGTGTGTCAAGTACTATCAGAAGACTATCAAAGTTCCTATACATTAGCCTACCTAGCTATGGCACCAATTTGTATCCATAGCCATCAAAAATCAAGGCATTTTTATTGTGTGTATGGTTTGGGAGCATTTATCAGATTTAGAATTTATTCCTAATTAAGAAACCTTAATGTCAATCTGCTTTCCATTAAATATCAGTCTATGATATCGATGTCTATCAAACCCACCTTTACCATAAAAAGTTGAAAGAAAAGCACTAACTTTTCATTATAATTGGCATCTCAATTCTCAATCTTGGTTACCTTTGATGTTTGGCTAATATTAGTTTGAAAAGAAACCTATGGGTGTGGAAGTAGTAAAATTGAAAGTGTCGGATTAATAAAGCATAATAACAACTCACCTGATGAAACAGTCATCAGCAATACCATAAGCACCATTCTGGATAGTGCATCATGCAGTTAATATAGAAACCCCCACATCGAAGCAAGACAGACACTGGGTTGTTGAGAGGTAGCGCCTGCATTGGGATGTACCATAGATTGAATCTGCATTCCCTAAGTTATGGCTTATGGCAAAATAGACACCTTTCCTGGATAGCTCTTTTCTAAGTGAAGCAAATGTGGAGTTGAGATTGGTGAAAAATACAGTTGGAGACATTATATCAACATGAACACAGAATGACCTAATCGGCATGTGAACAGTGTTATTGCTATCGTTTGATTGTGAACTGCCAACAACATCACAGATGACGAATTAGGGTAGAATAGAAGATAAAATATGACGGATTAGGGCAGGAAAACGATAAATTACCACTTACTAGGGCATCGTCGTTCGATTTTAGAGAAGGGATGTGACCGCTGGTCGGTTTTAGACAGTCGAGTATACACGAAGTCAAACACCAGTAGATGGTCGAGTCCATTTTCAACAAAACGAAGGTCGTAAAGAACAACGGAAGGGCGTCGGCAGGCGGAAGGCAACCGGCGGGCGGCTGACGGTGACTCTGTGTCGACAAAAACAAGGAGAAACTGGTGGCTTCTTCAACCTTTGTTTCATCACCGTCAGTCACTTTAAAGCTCGAATACACAAATGAGAGTGGGGTGCAACGATCCGGAAGTGTGTAGGGTTAAGGAAGCACAACGGAGAAGGCGAGCGGTGGAGAAGGTGGAGTAAAGATCAAGAAGTGTTAGTGTGAGTTTTAGAAGCTGATGATGGAGGTGGATCGGTGGACAAATTAAAGAAACATTGGTTGAGTTAAAACAACCCTATGAACAGTACCCGTGGTTAGGTATTGTTCATAAGAATGCTCTGATTTTATTATGTATATATATATATATATATATATATATATATATATATATATATATATATATATATATATATATATATATATATATATATAAAATCTCCACCAACAAAAGATAAATAAATATAAAATAAAATAAAATTCCATGCACTTCAAGAAATGGATTGGTTTACATGGTGTTTAAAATCTAGCACAAATATGAGAGGAGGGAAAGTGATGGTTGTATAATTTTTATGATATTTGCGACTTTCTCCGCCGTCCATTGGCGGCGCGCCACTATACCACCAGAAAAACATTAAACTAGTCGTAGAAAAAGTCTCTGAAACTCTTACCCTCCTCCCACTTGTCATGCACACTCAACTCCGACTCCATTTTCTCTCTCTCATACCACAAACCATTACTCTTACTAAAAACTAGGACAACTTCAACTACAAAGATCATGCACCAATCTTTCCTCATCTCCTCCATCGTTCCATCCATGGCTTGTTCTGACGATCAACAACCAGATTTCAAGCATTTTTGCAGGATTTGTAAAAAAGGTTTCATGTGTGGAAGAGCATTGGGAGGGCATATGAGGGCACATGGTGTTGGTGATGAAATTGCGAATTTTGATGATGAAGATATTGCAAATGATTGCGAAGGGAGCAAAAAGATTTATGATTTACGAACGAACCCAAATCGGTTCAGTCGGCTTTGTGAGAATTGCGGTAAAGAGTTTTCTTCTTGGAAATCTTTCTTGGAACATGGGAAATGTGGCTCTGATGATGCTGAATCGTCTCTTGTTTGGTCGCCAGAATCCGAGGCTGAAGACGAGGAAGATGGTGATGGATCCGGCCACCATGGTGGCAGAAGTGGCTGGTCGAAGAGGAAGAGATCTTTTAGGGTTTGTCAATCTAGTGACAATGAAGAGGACGTTGCATTAGCTAAATGTTTAATGGCCTTGTCGAACTCTATTGTTGATCATCCGTTGGAACTAGAACTCAATGATCGCCTTTACGCCACCACAAACAATGAAGCGCAAACACGGAACCCTAAGTTGTCCCCGGAGTTTTTGCCGAATTTTTCAAAACCTCCACTAGATAAAGCCAAAGGGGTGGTGGTGGCCACCACCACCCCTAAAGGTATGTTTGAATGTAAAGCATGTAAAAAGATTTTCAATTCGCATCAAGCATTGGGTGGACATAGGGCGAGTCATAAGAATGTTAAAGGGTGCTTCGCAGCACGAAATGATCAGTTTGATGATAACTTAACACAAAAATATAATATCATCAGTGATGTAATAAAACCGATCTTCCCCTATCAATCAGACAACAGTCAAGACCCGAGGAAATCAAAAGTACACAAGTGCTCTATTTGTAACCGGATTTTCGCATCGGGTCAAGCCCTAGGTGGCCACAAAAGGTGCCATTGGCTAACATCTAACTACAATCCAGACGCCTCTATAAACAAAATTAACTTCCATGAACACATTGAACAACTTTATCAAAGAGCTCTAGCCATACCTAAAGAACTCGAACTAAAACTAAACCTCCCGACTTCTAGCAATACCACCACCACCACCACACAACGGAACCTTCAAAATCCGAAAAGATTGGAGGTGTCTACAGAGATCAATCTACATGCATGGAGTGTAGCAGATCAAGAAAATGGTGATGGGGATGTGAAAGAAGATCATAAACACCAACCAAACAATAGCAATGGTGATCAATATCATATTTCAGCAGCAACAATGACAAATGATGACAATGAAGATGCAGGTAAGGTGAAGTTGGCAAAACTCAGTGAGTTGAAAGACATGAATAGCGGTAATGGGAGTTCATCTTCGTGGTTGCAGGTTGGGATTGGTTCAACCACAGACATGGCACCTGACCTGTAAATATTTTTTGATTGTTAAGAACGAGTATATATATGTAACTAGAAACTATGTAATTAATTAGTGTGTATCTATATTTGTTTTATTTTTGACCAACTTATGATGGTATTTAATTAAAAATGAATAAAGATAAGTGTCTTAATAAACAGTTGGATCTAAATGATACTGAAGAATTAAAATATGAATTATGTAAAAGAAAAACATTCTTGTTGATTAAAATTACCGTTTTATATACAAATACTACGGGGTGTTGCTAATCGCAGCTCTATAAAACTAAAGTCAATTTACTGACATAATTATTACCTACAAAGAAACATTAAAACCGTAAAATACATTATTAGTCCTTCACTTATATTTTCATTTTTGTTTTCCTCCCTTTCAATTTAAAAAAGTTCTAATTGATGAATAAGTCGATAAACCATCACATACCATTAACATCACATTTATGGTTATTTACGTATATATTATTTTTTGTTTTCATCTTTTTAATTTTTTATTTTTTTTTAAGTTATTATTATTATTATTATTATTATTATTATTATTATTATTATTATTCAATATCCTTACTTTTTTATTCTTATTATCTTCCTATTTATTTTAAATTGTGCCAATTGTCATTCCCTTTAATTTAAACTAGATGTGTTCCCCCCCGTGTTGCAGGGGTTGGAAGGTGTTGCTTTTGTGTGCAACTATGGTACATCGACTTAATTGGTAGCCACAATAAAATACGTTGCTATTCTCTGTAATTTGTCCATTTGCAAAGACGGTAAAAAAATGAATGTACATTGGTATTTTGTATTTTGATGATCCAAATTACAGAAAACTAAACATTAAAATGAAAGTACATTTCCCTATTTTGGTCGATATATGCCAAATTCCACCACCTGATGAAATTGCTGAAACAGTTGTGGTGTAAGCATATGTTCCACTTCTTCTTTTAGTTGATATGTGTTATCCCATCCAGGTGGAAGTCCTTCATCTTCATAATCTTTTTGCTCCATGTTTAAGTCTACGGTGTGACACATTAGTTCTTCCAAACCACAAAACATTTGAAACTTACCATGACAGATTATGGCGTGATAACATGATGAAATTGGACCATGGAATTGGAATGAGTCATTACATTCCAATATCAATGAGGCATTAAAAAATGTGTCCAATTGCAAAACTAAATGACAATAAATTGATAAATAAATAAAATCATATTTTATATTTCACATCATGTAAATATATATTATAAAACTACTTTCTCGATTTTACAAAACATTCCAGCAAGGCCTTCTTGTGTTTGGAAAAGAGTCACCATTCTGATGATTTTTGTTTGAAGCCCAACAACACCAAAGTTATTCAAAACACGAATTCTGCTCAGTTCATTAGGAATGGTCATGGTACTAAAACATTCAAAAACTATGACGGTTTTTACCCATTTAAATATAATACACAACAACATACAAAAAAATAAGGGAGTTGAATTACCAGCAACAACTCTAAAAGCAAATCAAAAAATCCCTCAACTGATAGGAATTCTATTGTGTAGCCTTTCTACCTCCTTTCCACCTAAAAAAAAAAAAAAAAGTGAACAAAGAAAAAAAAACTAAAATTTCGAGTTTAAAAGTCTGGACCCACATCCATAAAGATTATAAGAACTCACCGGTAACTTTAACTCATTTACCGAAATCAATTTTGTTTGCGAATCGACCACCAATCTTCAGGAGTATAACCCAATATAACAATTTCACCTAAAAAGAATCTGGTGCATTTGGAAATTGCGTCGGATAAAGAAACACTCCCTTCAGCACCACCCTGGTGGAAGAACACCTGAAGTCCTCCAAGTTAGAAGATGTTTTCAAAAGGTCAGAAATGGTAATAGACCCAATTATCGCATATAAATTAATAAGAATTAAGTAATAATAATGCAATGTAGGCCTATAAATGATCGGATTTGCATCAAATCAACTAATCTTATCTACCATATAACTTTATTAAATTAGTTTTTATCTGACCATTAACTAAGGATTAATGTTATGATTCATAACCATATTCCACAAAAAAAAATTTATGTAAAGTTGTTACTGTAAAGCATTTAAAAGTAATTTTGTCCAAAAAATAACACTCGTATTTGTGTTATTTAAAGTTGTGTGACTGCTAAGGTCACTACTTACCATATCGTTTTGATGAATTAGTAACCGAAAGAAAGGCAAGTGCATTTTTGGTATTCTGAAAATCAGATTCAAGGAGTGTCGTTCCTTTAAAATCATTCCCTGCATATTTTGAGTAAAGAACAGTGTTTCCTTCATCATCTAAAAGACCAGGTCCTACTGCAATCAAGCTTACATTAAGCATCATTAGACGCAAAAGAAAAAAATTCATTAATTTTTAAGATTTGAGTAAATGTGACAGGTGTTACTCACTGTGCCAATAGAGGGTTTTTCTTTGCTTGCTTGTGTAAGCAATAAGCCGGCAGCTGTCGTTTCCTCGGCTTCCTCGCCCTTTTATACAAAGTAGAAGATCAAATTAAGAGGATTTTATGGATACCTATCCAAAATACCCCTTAAGAGTTCTATGAATCAAGAGTATAAGGGTTACTAACCTTGATAGGGACTCTGCCATCAAGAGATTTCAAATCCGTAACATCTTCTATTTCAACAATACCAATGATGTCATCTTCCTTCAGTATGAGATGGTTTGACCCATTAAACTCAACTTCGGTCCCTGCATACTTGGAGTATATAACTGGGTACCAGTCTTCAAAATAATTATACAAATAGTCATTTAAAATTATCACACTGAAATAATCCACTACATACATGTAAATCTTGAGTTCTTTTAACATTAACAAAATAGTTAATTACCTTGACACCAATTTACACCTTGTTTTGCCTAATTGTCATGTCTTCTTCAACTGCAACAACATCACCACCTTGAGGCTTTGTTTTGCCTAATTGTGAAAGTCAAAAAATAACAACAAACTGTCTATTAGTTAAAATTATAGCTTAATAATGGTACAAATATATCAAATTATATAAATAATAATAATAACATCTCTTTCAGCTAAAAAATAATAATATAAGTAGAATGCTGTAATCAATAGATTTTTAGTTGTTCAATACCCAGCCTGTTTATTTTTGACGACACTACCCCTCAAACTTTTGACGATGTATTATAAATATTAATTAGCATGTATATTGTAATTAACATATATGATTAAAAATACAAAAAAAGTAACAAATACAACAAATGTAAATAAATCAGTAAAACTGATAATTAATTTAACAATAAAATACAAACATATCACAAAAATCTATTATTCTCTCATTAGATTAATAATTTAAACTAACAATGGTAAATTACAAATTTATTATGTAAAAAAAAATGAAAATAATAAAACCAAAATTTGATTTCTATTAAAAGGAAACGATTTTAGAACCAATAGCTTTCATTTTCTATATTACCAAAGGCAAAAAGCAAATTCTTCACTTTTTTTTATTCCGACAATAAAAAAAATTTGTTTGTTTGTGTAGAACATAGTCAATATTGTTAATGCATCTCTCATAGTCAATAATGTTAATATATATTCGTGAATCATAAATAAAAACACAACATAAAACTAAAAAAACAGATCCGTAATCTACAATAACCATGGGGCAAAAAAATTCATGCAAAAGATATGATAGCTTTAATTTTATAAAACAAATCATAAAATCCTCCACCATAATGCAAATGAAGCAAAAGTCCCAAAATTGTTACGAAAACCATATTTAGAGAAAATAATGCTAACCATTTGGTGCTTAAATGAAATTCAACTTCTGTGGGGAAGGAAACGGTGGATCTCTTACCGTTACCCTTTACAGCTTCAACCCAACAGTAATTACTCAGTACAATTGACATGTCTCAGGGTGCCAAATATCTGTAAATCACAACAAACACTATAATCAGTAATCATATCCAGAATTTTGATGTTTTTTTGTGGGATTAGATGGAGATGAATGTGTAGCAGCTTTTGACTTCCATAATGAGATGGCAATCCTGAGGCATGACAAGTTGCATTATGCAAACATAATAGATCACTGACATTGAACCAACTGTAGAGGAAGAGTTTCCATTGCAACCTGAAATGAAGTTCTTTAATTATTTAAAGAGATAACAACACTGAAAATGATGAACACAAAAGTTAATCATATTCTCTTTATTTATACTATAAGATTAAGAAGCAACATGAAAAATATCATTTGTTGTTAAATTTTATCAACTTATCCAACAGACACGGTTGGACATGTCAAAAGTAGGGGAAGTATGACATAAGTAGGCAGACAGATACTTCAGCAAACATCTGCATCTGATATCTATAAAAAAAGTAATTTCAAGATTTAAAAATGTTATGTTAGTAATACAAATTCATGAATGTTTAATTACCTGAGTAGTGTCAAGTGTTTTTGTGGCTAGGTTGTCATTCTTAAGGTCGTCAAACTTCAACATCTCCTCTCTACTGGAAAAAAATGTTTCCAAAATTACCCTCCATATTCTAGACTTTAAAAACACATACACATACTTTATTTATAAATATAAAATCTAAGTAAATTATTAGACTCACTTAGAATTTGATACACCGCATCTTTGAAAGCATATACAGGTTTCGCTTCTGAGTACACATGCGAGGACCGAGTACAATGTTTAGAATGGTTAATTACTCCATAAGCTCAAAATACTAATAATCAGATAATTTCCAAATTCCAAATCCAATCTGATAGTAAAATAATCCATCTAAACTGCAGAAGCTTACCAGAATCCAACAAAGGATTAACTTGAAAAAAGAATCGAGCAGCGTGACACGCACACCATCTGAATAGCCTAAGCTTACAACAAATTACTAATTAAATCAAAGATGATTTACAACCCAATTAACAAAACCCATTGAAAGCATGAAACAGAAAGAAAACTTAGCTGCAAAATTTCTTATGAGGAGACTTTAATTCCTCATTCCCCCACAGCTCTTCATTCCCCTGATTGTAAGTAAACTAATTTTGATAATATTTTTGTACACAAATTATAGAGATGCAACTGCAAAAATGCAAAAAAAATATTAGTTGTTGTGTTTTGATTAGAATCATACTGTGAACTTAAATCAAAGGTTGGCCCTAAATCCAATAAACATGAAAAATGATAGTGGAATCTCTGTAGTTCATCATTACCAGTAAAAACATGATGAAGAAATGGAAGGGTTCCATGGAAATCGTAGCAGAACACCAACTCAAATTAAGCACACCCGAAATATGGAGGTAGTCGGGAATGGAAATGGGCAAGTCGCCAGAGAAACAACCTCCGTCGAACACCCTGAAGACCACAACAGGCAGCAGATTGATTCCGGTTAGCATGAAAAGCGTGTTGGATTGTGATTGCAACTGTACTTCGGGTAAATGGACACTTGAATCGATTAGCGCCAAAGAAAAGAGGCAGTAAAAGGTGGATGGTTTTAATAGGTCTAACCTGGGCAGTGGTCATCGACAATCCGAACATAGGTAACTGTCCGATGGTGGTGGTGAATATTCCAGCCAGTTATCATACTGGCCATCGATGGTGGTGGTGAACCACCCTTCGCCATGGAAGCACCTCTATGACTTTGCCCTAGAAATCCATCGGGAGCCAGACATCAACCCTAAGCGAATAGATAGGTTGTCGATTTGGTACCGCAATGACGGTTAGTGATAGAAGGGATGCCAATGAGTTCAGATAGAGATGGAGGGTTTTGGAGAGGCGGTGGGAATTATCGAGATAAACAGAGTGAGCGGAGGTATTGTACACAAAATATAAAAAATTGAGAAAATATGACCCCGGAATGAAACCAAAGCAGCTGGTGGATTGCAGCTTCGTGCGTAAAGAAGATTGGAAGAAGCGGGCGGCGACCCCAAATCGACATCGGCAGACGAAAACATAAAAAAGTTGAAGAAAACGAACCTGTAACTACAGGGTGCGAAGGTGACCGGGCGAAGGCTTCACATGGGACTCGACGGCATCCGGCGGAGAGCGGTGGAGGAATCGTTTACCCGGGTTCCTCTTGAAAAGCCCTAAAAAATAAAACGTATCAACCGGACACGATTGAGGGGTCACCTGGCTTATGGTGGATTAAAGAGAAAAAAATGAACAGCAGAAGCAGTGAAAAATTAAGTAGTGACCGGTGGTGCTTCATAAAGACGGTGGTGATGGCGGCGTTAATCGCTTCCATAGAGAAACACTCAAACACAAAGGGGAAGATATTTGATAGGAATGCGGTGGGAAGCGCGGATAAATCCAAACGATGATAACACGTGTATGTAAGAATGTAAATATTTCCATAAAATACCCAGGTAAACGTAACCTATAATCAAGGGACCATTTCTGCCAAAAAAAACAGAACTTCACTGTTCATTTGCAAGACAACTTTAATATATATATAATAATTTGATTGAGATATTAAATTTATATACATGTCATCATCTTAAATAGATAGAAATAAAAGTTAAGAGGATATTTAGTTCTCTCTCTCTCTCTATATATATATATATATATATTATATATATATATATAGAGAGAGAGAGAGAACTAAATATCCTCTTAACTTTTATTTCTATCTATTTAAGTATACTAGACGAATTCCCGCGCGTTGCGCAGCGAAGATTAAAAATATATTGTTAAAATATATGTTTAAAATGGTTATGTTATTGACATTAACTTTGAGATAATATTTTTACACTAATTTAATATATATATATAGATATATATATATATAGATATATATATATATATATATATATATATACATATAATCTCTATTATTTTGAACAATAATATTCATTGACATCAACTCACATTCCTCATTAATAAAATTAAATATAATTATCTATTTAGTATTATTTTTAACAATTATTATTATTGATTAAATATATTTTTACTTATACGATCATTTTCTAATTTCAATAATGTTGTTCATTTAAAATACAATTTATTTATAGCTAAATGTAATTTATAATTTGATGTTATTATCATTTAAAATTGTTATTTATTAATTTTAAACCACTTATTATTAATAATAAGTTAAAGAAGACTTTTAAGAAACACTTAATATTATTATTAAAATGTGAAACATACACTAAATAATAAAGTGATAAGATAGACAATTTGCATTTCAAAAGAGACTTGCATGGATAATATGACATATCCATGTAATTTGATCTTATTATTTATAATTATTGCTTATTAATTTTAAAACCACTTGTTATTATTAATAACTGAAAGAAACTTTTAAAAAACACTTACTATTATAATTAAAATATTAGACATATACTAATATATAAAGTGATAAGATAGACAATTTGCATTTTAAAAAATGCTTACATGGATAATATGGATAATATGACATATCCATGACTTTTAATTAATTATTGTTTTAAAGCAACATGAACATACAAACATGTATACAATAGTTAATTAAATATTATATATATATATATATATATATTATATATATATATAT